TTTTTTTAATATTTTTAGATTAATTAGTTAATATTAAAAATATTTTTAAAAAATAAAAAAATTATTTTAATAAATTTTTAAATAAAAATATTTTTTTAAAAATAACTATAATTAAACACCCAAATAAAACCTTGACATGAAAAAAAAAGTTTTATTATAAAAAATAATAAAAATTCTCAAGTTTTACTCTTTTTTCTTTTCCATAACTACCCATCCTTTCTCTCTTAAATTACCGAGGAATGATTGCTGTGTCGGTGTCGTTTCTGCTTTTGGTTGGAGGGTGTGATAGTGCCACCCATAACTTGCCAAGTGGAAACTCTTATTATTTTAGTCTTCTCCCCCCTTATTTTTACTTTTGGATAGCAACGAAGCACTGCTGGATTGCTTTTTGGATAATTATGAATTATTGTCTTAATTTTTTTGAATTGAGATTAAAGAAGAAGAAAATCTCGTATTTAAAAAAAGGTTACCAAAGAAATTCTATTTATAAAAGTTACCAGTCCACGTGTTTTTGTGATAAATTTATTTTGTATTTTCAAGGTAAAACTATGCATAAATTAAAACTGGATCCCTTGTCCAGTAATCTTTAAAATACACCCTTCACACCGAATAAGTTTAATATATTTAAGAAAAGTTAACTAATTCCAAGTCTTAAGCTAGGAAATTCAAAAAACAAATTAAATCTCCTTAAATATAAAAAATAACTCTTTAAAATCATATATTTCATGGTTAAAAATAATAATAACATAAATAAATAAATAGCAAGTTATGGACAATTGATCAAATGCGTTTTATATTAAAAATAAAAAATAAATTCAAATGCTTCTTTTGAACGAATAATTTCTCGTTACCATCGCCATCCAGGTAAAAGAGAATTGGCTTAATGGTGATTTTATGCAATTAGATGCATGGCTCGACGAGGACAACAACTACCTAACCAATTAATAGCAAATTCTTGCATAGAATAATACAAAATGATCATCCTTTTCTTTGCGTGACGTGAAACTTGGTCTTCTTAAGGTCTAAAATAATCACAATCAAGAAAGATACCCTAATCCAAATGCATTGTTCATCACGGATCTTGCCTTGTGTAGGAGGAAGATTGCTTGATCCAACAAGTTAGGGCAAATAAATAACAATGGGGGGAGTCGTTCTCCAACTATGATTCTCACATAAAGTCCAAAAGTTCCTTTTTTACTTTCTCTTGGACAACAATGGAGAATTTTACCCTCCCCATCTTTTCCCTGGGACACTAGCCATCGAAGACCGAATAAAGGACTGGTTTGTAAGTTTTCATACATGAAGAACCAAGTTTTAAGAACACAAAAAATCCAGGGACTTGAAAGTAATTCACTCAAGTGAAAAAAAAAGAGAAAAAGAAAAGGAAAAAAAGGTCATCTGTTTAAAGAAGAGGCATCAAGGAACATCTTTTGAGCAGGTCCACTAGAAAGGCAGATTTGTGTATTGGGTTCCAACTACGCTCACAGACAAACATCTCCGCTCCCCAAACTTTCGAAGTGGAGAATAGACCTGCCTAAGTGGAGCACTGCCATGCTCACCAGAGGATATTCCTTGGCATGACAGTTTTCCCCTTCCCTTTAGGATTTTACATGAGAGATTTCTTCGAGAGCTAATCAATCTCAGACAATAACCACCACTTCAAATCTTTACTTGAGGGTTACATCAGAAACGTCGGAAATCTCTCGTCAGATATTAAGAATGATAACACTTTCAAATGAAAAGGAATGTTCTGGCCAAGCCAGTCATGTTTCCTCCTCTGAATTTCCTCCTATCATCAGAATCCAGAATCACAAGAATGGTGCTAGTTACTAGGATGATAAATCCTTCCCTGTTAATACACTGAATGAAAGAAAAGGCATACCATGCCTCAAATTGCCAACCAATAGATAGAAGATAGAATGGCCAAAACCGTGAAAACCAAGCAGAAACGGAAAGCAAATGCCAGTTAATACACTATTTCAACAACTACTCGAGGCAGAAGCATTGGGTAGACGGAGCACAGAAATTTGGAGACACCTACGCTCCCCAAACTTTCGAAGTGGAGAATAGACCTGCCTAAGTGGAGCACTGCCATGCTCACCAGAGGATATTCCTTGGCATGACAGTTTTCCCCTTCCCTTTAGGATTTTACATGAGAGATTTCTTCGAGAGCTAATCAATCTCAGACAATAACCACCACTTCAAATCTTTACTTGAGGGTTACATCAGAAACGTCGGAAATCTCTCGTCAGATATTAAGAATGATAACACTTTCAAATGAAAAGGAATGTTCTGGCCAAGCCAGTCACGTTTCCTCCTCTGAATTTCCTCCTATCATCAGAATCCAGAATCACATGAATGGTGCTAGTTACTAGGATGATAAATCCTTCCCTGTTAATACACTGGATGAAAGAAAAGGTATACCATGCCTCAAATTGCCAACCAATAGATAGTAAACACATACATTATGAAAGTGCTGTACCTTCCACATTGACCTCTTATGTACTGGGCACTGGTAGCTTTCATCAACGAATTGAAGCGACAAGGGAGATGTCTATCCTAAAACTATCCAAAAATATTCTAGAAAATATCACAGATATGCATCTGACCTGAAGAGAAAATCATATTTAACTGGGAAGTGAATATCATACACCTCTAAAAAGTTAACAAATCAGCTTTTATTAATCAAAGATATATGATGTGGCAGGAAAGATGAAATGAAAGAACAAGCCAGGTGTAGTGGCTCAAAACAGATCATGCGAAGATACCTCCAATGAAAAAGGGTCTGAGAACTGATTGCATTTTCGGTATACAAACTGCCATGATTGCCCTGATGCTCATTGTTAAGAGCGGGTAAGGGGCAATGTTTCATAGTCAGAGTTGGAAAGATGTTAATACAGAGCAATGAAGTTAGTCTATGGGAAGTAAATGCGACTCAAAGCAGGTCATCAGTTGTTAGGAATTAGAAATTTGATGGCGATGGATCTCGTGAAGAAGCAGACCTCTGGCCCTATTGACAGCATTAAAACAAAGGCATATATGCTCCTCGAGATCCTTGAGCTGTTCAATGAATTTGAGATGGTTTTTTTTAAGCTGTTTCAAAACCTCTGAAATGGGATGCAAGTCCTTACCGCTCTCCAATCCAATCCGAATAAGATGCTTATCACACTCGACTGCATCATACAAACGAGCAACACGCCGTTCAAGGGTCGCAAGTTGATTGTTCAGCACATATGTACCCCTAGAAGCAGAATCAAGTTGCTCGACACGGGCAAGCTCTTCCTTAGTCAAGCTGCGAGGGAGACACGGCAGTGTGCATATCGGGGTGGCAGCAATGGCAACAAGTGCATGACTTGCGATTCCCACAGCAGATACTACAACAGCAACAACAGAGCCAATGACGCAAAGGGCAGAGCCAAAAGTGGCTCGGCGAACTAGGTGGATTCTAGAGCGTGACTTGCGGATTCGCTGTTCTAGTTGCTGCTTCAGTTGCGAAAAGCATTGCTGCATATCATTGAAGTTATGCGATTCGGGGCAAGGGAAAGGGTTGTCAACGCAATCAAATTGGAGAAAGACATCAAAAGCACAATCGCATTGTGATTGAGACAGGGATTCTGAGTCAGTAGGAATAACATCCAGAAGTTTATGAAGAGGACCATAAAGAGCACGGGCACGATAAACACTCTGTTGGAGAAGAATGCAGAGTTGGCTGGTGTTTTCGCTGTTGTCAAAGTAGGTGGATACAAGTCGAGTGAGAGTGTTAGGCTTGGCGTCACGAAGAGCTTCTTTCACACATTCTCGATTTGGTTGAAGAACTTGAGTCATAAGCAAGCGGTTAGCATCCTCCTCATTGTAATGACCATGAATTTCTTCAATTTGAGTTTCGTCATAATGAATCCTGGACCACATCTCGTTATAGGAATTGGTCTGGACAGCGAGGGTGTATTCGCGAGTGAGGTTAACAGTAGGGGATGGCTGTGTGCTTGATCTTGGTGTTCCATCGGCGGAGTTCCCAGCTGATTACAAACAGAGTTGGATTCATTCAGACATTTTACACAAACACGTTACAGGCATCACAAAATCTGACTTCGAATAAGCCTATCTGACCTTGCGAAGCCGGAGGGCAGTTATAATCACCGTTGTTTGGACGTGGTGAGTGTGTTGTGGATGCTGCTGAAGATGTTTTGAGAGAGAGGCACTGCATCATCGCGATTTGGATGAGTTTTGTACGGTCAAAGTTCCAACTCCAAGCATGGACAGTGGATCTTTATCTTCTTCCAGGCTTGTTGATGGCTAGTGATGATATCAGAATTGCCCAAGTTGAACCAACGATCAATTTCAGTAGGAAAGGAGATGGACAGAAGAAAGAGTATTTTATACGCCACCCACGCCGCTATCTCTTACGCCTGAATAAGGGGACGGTGGCTGCTCCCGTTGCCGTTCCTTGCTCATCCAAAGTTGAAAGATAGCAACCTTTTGACCAAGGTAATTAAGGTCCGCTTTCCCTCTACAGTTTTAATATCTCGTTATTACCCTTGTAGTTTCCATAAAGTTCTAAAGTTACCCCTCACCCTTGTAGGATGCACGGGGATTCGAATGGAAAAAAGAGAGAGGTACGTATGTGTGCATATATATATATATATATATATATGATAAAAAATCTAAACAATACAGCTATTTGCTAGTTATTTATCAAAATTACTTTCAAATAAACCAAAGAGATTCGATATGGAAAATTTTCAATTATTAGGACAGAAGTTATACCCGCCATAAATGCTTCGCTACTGTCTCCGTTGTAGATTACTATCAATTTTTTATTTTTTTTCATTTCAAAAACATTTTTTTAAAAAATAAAATTTCTTTTTTTCTTTGTTTTAATTTTTTGTTTTTGTTTTTGTTTTTTTTGTATTGTTTTAATATGTTGATATATAAAAAAATAAATTCTTAAAAAATATATATTATTTAAATACATTTCAAAAAAAAAAAAAAACACTTGAAACTAATCAAATGAAGATAAATCGCCCCATCTCACATAATAACACCACTTCAACTCTCACATGAAGTTTACATCATATATGCTGGTTTCCATTTCTGCAATACGTCTCTATCAGGAACTATCAGAATGATAAAACTTCCAAATGAATAAGAATATTTAGTCCGAGCCAGAGTTGTGTCTTCTGCGTTCCTTGTCTTTCTTGTGTTTCTTCTCGCCAGAATCACGAGAATGATGTTTCTCGTGCCTATCATGTTTTTCACGCTTTTTCTCCTTCTCGTATTTCTTCTCCTCACGCCTCCTCTTCTTTCGGCTGCTTTTGTCCTCCTCAGGTTTATCTTCTTCGGCGTTTCCTGCTGGTGGATCAGGCATGGCCACCCTAACTGGCTCAGGTGAAGCCTGCTTGCTAATGGATGGAAGAGTACTTGGGTCTTCCCAAGCCCGAGGTGCCCTGCAGCAGGAAGTTCAAATCAAACATAAAAATGATGAAAAAGAAATGAAGAGCAGTTTAATTGAATGCTACATGCTGGCACAACAACGTCGATAAACCTACAGGCTAGATGGAAATATCAGAATATTGCGTGTATAAGCATCACTAAGATACAGTATTATGTCCAGCTGCTGGCCTTTAGTGCACCCCGGAGTGAAGAGAACTAGAATACCATGCGAGTTTACAGTATCCTAACACATAAGCATGGGCAAATAATTCTACAAGTGCACCTTTTGAGCCAACCACCCCACCCCACCCCACCCCACCCACAAAAAAAAAAAAAAAGCAACACCATATGATACATGGCATTGAATCTTGATGCATAAATATGTTATAAGCCCAGGTAGAATCACACACATATGTTGAACATAGCAATTATACGATACATGTCATTAGTGACTTAATACTTTGAGAAACCAAGACCATCAACCCGTGCTGCATCTGCATGCCCAGCCCCCAAGTCCTCTGCTGTAGAACCTCTCTTAACAAGTTCTGTATACTCATGTTTATCAAGACGATTTCCTTGAGGTCGGCTAGATCGCTTTGGAGCTAAGCCAAGAGCCTCCCTCATGGACCGCTCTTCCTCTTCCTTGATTCTTTGTATCTCTTCTTTCAAGGCATCTTCATTTGAACTCCCAGATTTTTTATCCCTGGCATACCAATGTAAATCCTTCCCTGTAGAAAAAATGAATGAAAGAAAAGGTTGAAAAATTCTTAATGATAGCATTCCTCAAATTGCCAAGCAATAGATAAAAGAAACCATGAATAACACGCTGAAAACTAAACAGATACAGAAAGAGAAACATCAGTTAATCAACTATTTTGACTATAACTTATATACTGAGAACTGCTCAAGGCAGAGCCATTAGGTCCAGAAATTCCAGAAGTTTGAATATACCTAGCACCCACTTTAAATGAATCAAGGAACGTGGATGCATAAAATGGCAAAACAACCAGAATCATGATAACAGTTTCCTCCATGGATCTTTTCAACACACTCCACTGAGCAATGTATCAGAGGAAGAAAAGGATGGACAAACCTGTATAATCTAAGAAAAAACAATTCCCTCACAGGATACATAACAACACAAGCCAAAACTACTTTGCAAGCAATCAGTTAGCTGATGAGATGTATCCCTAGAAAGCACATTTTTATCCATTTAAACTTGTGACTGTTTTACACTAAATCTCATTACAAAATGTTATGAAGCAGTGTGGATGAATAAGCAGTAAATTTGAACATCAAAGAGTATAAAACAGAAGCGCTGCATCACTGAAGTATCCCATACAAGACCATCTCTAAACAAAAGAAGAAAGGAGCCCCGCAAACACGTTCCCTCAAATTTTGAATTTTTTTTGCTGAAAATTATTTTTTTTCCGTGTTTTTAGATCTTTGATATACTGATATCAAAAATGATTTTAAAAAAATAAAAAATAATATTTTAATATATTTTTAAGCAAAAACCACTTTCAACAGCAATCGCTACCACAATCTCCTACCAATCCACCACAGTCATGAGCAAACCACCAACGCAACAGCATAAAAAATCTAAACATGGTTGTTACATCTCTCTTTATATCATAAAACAAGCTATAAACAAATCCGGCAGAAGATTCGTACACTAAAATTTCATTTACAAGTTCCTGTAAACAAAAAAAAAAATCCCGTTTTTCACGACAAAAATTAAATTCTCGGCAACCCATTCCCCCTTCACCATCCATTCAACCAAAAACAAAAAAAATAGACAATAAGTAAGAGCAGAAGCCACCAAAAACACGACAATTCAAGGGGGAAAAATAAAAGAATTTACCTTTCTGCCATCTACCAACAGGAGCTTTAATACTGTGACCAAGATAATTCTCTCTGTGCTTATCTGCCTTAACATCATCCCAACTAAATTCTGCAAAAAAAAACCAAAACCAAAATTATTTTAACACCGGAAATTAACATAGCCAATCGAAACCTAATTAAATCACGTATGTAGAGAGAGGAAGCTTACGATCTCGTCCGCCGCGAACGCCTCCTCTGGTTGGATGATACATGGATTTTTTATCGTTTCTTTAATGGACGGGGCTGAAGCTGGAAGCAGAAGAAGGGATCGAGACGATTTTCTGTGCTTTTCAATGGATGCTTCTGCAAGTATTTATCTCGCTGGTGAAATGGATGTCGTCCATTTATAAAACGACATGTCGTCAATTTAATGAAAGGCTTGACTTCGGCTTAATGACTTCTTTTTTCTTCTTTTTTTTGTGCCTTTGAGGTTGGAATACACTGAAGCCGTGCTCATGGTTTTAGATCCCGTTTTGGCTGCCATAAAACAGAATTTTTATTAAATTAAAAATATTTTTAATTTTAATTTGTTTAATGTTTTTAGATTTTTTTAAAAAAATTGATAAAAAATTAAAAAAATTATTTTAATAAATTTCTAAAAAATATTTGAAAAAAAAAATTATTACTTTTAAATATATTTTTAATGTGCCATATCCATTATATGTTATGTGTAGTTTTAAAACTCTGAAAAATATTTGAAAAAAAAAATTATTACTTTTAAATATATTTTTAATGTGCCATATCCATTATATGTTATGTGTAGTTTTAAAACTCTGAGGTTATAGAACAAGCTAGATTAACTTGATTTTTTATAATAAAATAAAATTATTTAAATAAAAGAATTCAACAAATTGATGATTGAGTTTTGATAAGAATATATTAAATTGTTTTGACTAAAATGAATTTTTAATAAATTTACTTAAATTTTGTGGCAATATACTAATTCGGTTCATGTTATAAAACAACAATGCCATAAAAAAATCAAAATTCATTTTTAATTAACACATCAAGTTTCAAGATAAATAAATAGAAGGACTCGCAAACAATGTGTAGTATGGTGCCATGTTCATGTTTTTAGACCAGCACTAGTTCATGTTGCAAGAATAGTAGGTTCTGGCCTAGCGGTGGGAGGGGCTTGTCCCCTTTCTCCGCACCTGGGTTCGAACCTCACCATGCACGCCTGTTACTCCCGTGGTGCCTTACCTGCTCACTGGGCTTGCAGGATGTTCAGTGGGCCGTGGGGATTAGTCATGGTGCGCGTAAGCTGGCCCGGATACCCCACGTAAATCAAAAAAAAAAAGAATAGTATTTTTATTTTATTTTTATCTTTCTCTTGTCCCACAACCAATCAAAACTTTTATAAAATGTCATGATAAATGACTAGTGATTTATTTTACAGGTTAATAGTGAAATGAATAATAAATTAATAGCTAATGAGAATAATTAGTTGTTTTGTGTATTTGTTTTCAGATTTTTCAATGCTTCGTGTTATTTTGTTCTTCCTATTTTGGTCCCTTTACTGTTCGTTGTTGTAGTATCATATTACTACAACAAATAGTAAAGGGACCAAAATAGTAAGAACTAAGAACTACAAGCAGCAAAACGTCTTTACTTGTCGCCCAAGTAAAACAACATTTAAATAACTCGCCTACTAAGGCACGTTTGTTTGTTTAGTTGAGAAGCACTGTCAATATCAAATGTATTTTTTTAAAAAAAAGGAGAAGAATGGATAAGGTTCAGTGGGGATGAGGAGATGGATACCTCCATGTCCAATTAGAAGACGCCGGCGATAATTCTTTTTTCAAAACGCCTTGACTCACGGCGGCGTTCTATCCTCCACCATCGTTTTTTTGATCTCACATCAAATTGAGACTGCTTTTATAGATAGCATGGTACTAAGGGGACTTGACAAGTTTTTCCAGGCAGTTTCGGATATTAGGTCAGGGGGGTAGAAAAATTTTTATCAAGGGAGATAAAAGTTAAAGTTCTTTTGATCTCACATCAAAGTGAGACTGCTTTTATCGATAGCACGGTACTAAGGGGATTTGATAAGTTTTTCCAGGCAGTTTCGGATAGTAGGTCAGGGGGGTAGAAAATTTTTTATCAAGGGAGATAAAAGTTAAAGTTTACTTAGTTTTAGATTAAAAAAAAAATTACTCAGGGGAAAGGCAGGGGAAAAAGTTGCAGGTCGGGTCCTTGCCAGCCCTGCCTTCACTAAATTTTATTTGACTTCATCGGTTAATTTTTTTTTAAATTAGCTGGAGTTTAATTTTAAATTAAATAAAATAAGATTTAATTAATAAATATTAATTAATTTGGTCAAAACTTGGTTTTTTTATAGATAATTTATAAAAAGCTGCATTTAGAAAATATCAAAAATTAAAGGAACAAAAAAATATGATTAATCCATATAATATAAACACAGCAATACTCTGCATTAGCAATCTAGCATTTTCATTTTCTATATGATGATGTTAAAAATAAAAAACCCACTAATTTATGAGGCTTTGTTTGATTTTGTGTTTTAAAAATATTTTAAAAAAATTTAATTTTTTTTATTTGTTTCAAATTAATATTTTTTTAGTGTTTTTAGATTATTTTGATATGTTAATTTTGAAAATAATTTTTAAAAAATAAAAATATATAATTTTAATACATTTATAAATAAAAAATATTGTAAAATATAGTCATAACTACACTGTTAAATAGTATTTCAATCACTCAAAAGACATGTTGATATTCTCTCAACAAATATATCTCTCAATTCATCATAAACAATTTTGGCACATTAATTTGTTTCTCAACTTCGCAATAAAAATTTTTTTAATGCAATTATTTTGTTAATTGTTTATATAAATAATGTTTGATTGTTGTGCCCATATAAAAAAAAACTGGAATAATAAAATTATACAAGTTATAATTCTTGTTTTGAAAATAAATTCAATAAAAAAAAATCTCATGGATGAATTTATTCTATCTCTATTTATGTATTTTTAATTTTTTATTATTTCTATTTTTACCTCGAGATTGAAACTAAACTCTAGAAAAGAATACTCCTAATATTTATTTTCTTTGTTTAACAAATTAAAAATCTGTGGCCCAACTATTTAACTGGGCCGAAGCACCTTACCCTTGGGCTTCATCTATCAAACTACGTGTCAACCGCAAGAAGGTTCTAGCTCTAGAGGTAGTAGCTCAGTGTAAGTTTTCCGTTTCCGTCTCAAGAAAGAAAAGTTTCAAAGGTAAGCAAAGAGCCCACAAAACATGGCAACAAGATCCTCACTGAGCCGACTCAGCTTAATCCCTATTCGCTCGATGAAGTCAACTCGTGGAGCTACTCGCTACTTCAGTGATGACAAAGGTCGAGTTCTGAGCGAAGAGGAACGCGCTGCTGAAAACGTTTATATTCAGGCCTGACCTCTTATCTCACCTTTCGCCATCTCGCTACCACTCTCTTATTGCTATTATATTCTGCTTGGTTGCTGAGAATGCTTAGGAAAATGAAAGAAATCGTTGCTCTTGTGATTGATTGAGCTTAAGAAATGTTTTGTCGTTTTTGCTTGAGCTTCTGTTTGTTTGTTGAGAAGGTGTAGGAAAATGAAAGAAATCGTTGCTCATAACGTTGGTGATCGATTGAGCTTAAGAAATGTTTTGTCGTTTTTGTTTCAGCTTCTGTTCGTTTGCTGAGAAGGTGTAGGAAAATGATAGATATGGGGAAAATATCAGAGTATTGTGAGTTAAGTTAAATGATACTGAAGTTATTTACATCTTTGTCATCGTTTTTTTTCTTTGGTAGCTGAGAAAGTGTAGGAAAATGAAATCGAAAGGAAAAGATAAAAGAAAATTAAATTATTTTATGAGTTAGATTTAGGGTTTGCTCCAACTAATCACAAGTTTGCAATCAAATAGAGCTTGATGATTGAACTACCAGTCGATTTGATTTCTGCGATAGATGATTGTATGGTGATTTTTTTTTCCCGGTGTCTGGGTTCGTAGAAAATGGAGAGGGAAAGGCTGGAGAAACTGAAGCTAAAGCAGGAGAAAGAGAAGGCAGCAAAAGAGAAACAGGGTGCTGACAAGGTAATTTAATTTTTGTAGCTTGATGATGTTTGTTCCTCATTTTTAGGTCAGAATGATTGAAACATTGCTCCTATTACAATCTTTGGGCTGCTATGTTCGATTGTTGTTTAAGCATGATTAGAGGTGCAGTTTTTTGTCAATGGAATGGATTAAGATGTGGCTGGTTTACTTATGTGTTTCAAAATCAAAATTCCCTGTTATCACCAACATTGATGTTTAAAGTAACAACTAATTACTGCTTGAATGATTTAAATATTCGTTGAGTAATTGAATCTAAGTACATAGATTCCCTGTTATGAGTTCAATTTCCAACATCATTTCTTTGATGTTTCATGTCACCGATTGCCAAATGTTAGTAAATGTATACCATTTTCCTCTCCTCTTTGACATATGTTTTGAGTTTTGAAGAATGAGCACCTAAGCATATGGATCGGAGAATGGTGGTGCAGCATCTCCAAAATTATCGTTGCTGATTTCTACTTTATTTATTTGTTTGGTTATTCAAGTCTGCCTTTGAAGATTAAGTTTAATCGACATCAATTTTGTCTTTTTTGCAGAGAACTGAAGGGAGCCAGAAAGCCTGATGGGGGATCATCTGCACCAGATAATGATGATCTTGCTGCGGTAATAGGCATGTAAAATAACGACTCTCTAGGGAGATTTAGTGGTTGCACGGAGTTGTCTTTGCAATACTTTTGAACAGTTATAAACATAACCATGTTCTTCTATGTAGCTCTGCATCTGTTGATAGTTTTCCTATCCGAACTTTGAATAATCTTGATCCAGAGTTCGTTTTATCTTTTCTTGTTGATGCCCTAGATGATTTCATGTGCTTCACCAAAAATCAGCTGACCTACCTGCTGTGAATATTTATTAAAGAATAATATAGATTATATTTTAGGATTTCATTTAATAGCTTAAGTTTTTAGGTTAAGATAATTCTTTGATACAGTATCAAAGTTTTAATGACTAAGTAGTTACGTGTTCAAATGTTACTATCTCTATTTATTTGATTAAGCTTTTTAAGCACAAGGTAATGTTAAGATAGTTTTTTGATATTATTTTTAAGGACCATTGATTTCGTATTATTTTTCTGATTTGACTAATTGAATTTATTTATTTTTTACTTTCAAAAAGATGGTGAAAAAAATCCAAAGGCATTCAAGTACAGCAACGAGTGTAAAATGATCACCACTCCTTATTGAAAATTCATGACTGTGATGAACGAACAAGCATTAGTCGACTTCCTGAGCCAAGAGAATAATTATTGATTGCTTGGAATACAAAAGTGCAGGCCTTTTTTGAGCTATCTAGGCTTAGTTCAGGGCTTGCCAAAGCCGGACTTGATCTTTTGAATGGTATACACATCGGTCTTGAATGCTTTGGCAAGAATTCCATCGTCAATTCCTGTTGAAAAGACAGCCGAAGGCACAGAAACTGTTCCGGCATTTGCACTACCAAAAGAAGAAATCGCCACAGCTGGTTCTTTGGTTGGGTTGGACTGGTGGTGTACCAGACCCTTTGGGAAAATGAACATATCTCCAACTTGGAGTTTTTGGGTGTAAAGCACATTCTTGGTGTCAACAAATCCAACATCCAAGCTACCATACACAAGGAACAAGAGCTCGGCAGCTCGAGGGTGGGTATGGGGAGGGTTGAGACTACCTGCAGGGTATTGAAGCACAGCATATGAGACACTCTGCCCATTAAGAGCTGGGAACTCATTCATGGTAGCTTTTGTTAAAGTGAAGTTTTGAGGAAATTTGGCAAGAACCCCACGCATTCCTGTGTAGGTGAAGAACTTTCCATCAACAATAGTGTTAGTTGGTGCGACGAAATCTGAAAGGATATCAGGATCACCTGCGAAGACCATATTGACTGCACTGACGAAGGAAAGTAAGAATAGAGAAAGGGAAACTGGTTTGAGAGAGTCCATGGCTGTGGTTGATAAGCTGCAAGCTCAACAATCGAACGCCGAGCTTTCAAGT